TGAAGCCATATTTGTTGCTTCTATTTATTGATCATGACTATTTTTTGGTTGGTTGATGTTAATAACCCGTAATCTCCCCATTCTAAATTCTTGGTTTAGGTTCCTTTGTAAGTCCTAATAATAAAAGAATGCATTTAAAATGAAAATTTCTCCAACCACTCTAAATTCTTCAATCTCATCAACATCCTGGTCTAAAGCTTCTAGGTCCTTCAAGCTACTAACCGAATTAAACCAAATAAAATAAGACCTTTGGTTTTGACTTTAATCCATAACCGTGCTTCAGTGCTTTTAAACAGCTACAAAGTTAGTTACCATCAACATAGCATTGTTCCCAGGAGATAGACAAACCTCTGCTTTTCACTTCTTGGCAAAAGAGACGACCATTGGATTCTGTGGAGTGATCTTAAAACCCTGAAGAGCCTCCATGGCTATGGAAGATTGAACATCGTCTTGGTACTCCACAAACGCAATTCCGGGTTTTGCTTCGATCATTCTTATTTCCTTGTATCCTGGATACTGTTCAAAGAGCAGCTGAAGCATCACGGTTGACGTCTCAATGGGAAGATTCTGAATGAAGAGTATGTTGTTTGGTGGCATCATGTCATGCCCGCTCGGCTGAAATGGAGGCTGCAAGCAAAATTGCAGAGACGGTTATTGGATTAATACGGAAACGATAATTTACAGATTAGCTAGCTGTAACAATGATGTTCATCAGAACTTAATGTTGTTTTATTGGAATGATGCTAGAACGAGAAATTACCACAGGCCTTCCATTCTGCGCAGTTGCACCATCAGACACGTTTGGTTGTTGGGTTTCTCGAGCATGTCGCTTCCTTTCAACTGAAAGTAATATGTGGTTTTGTTAAACATCAGATAGGAAATAAATACAAAGTTTTGAACTTGTGATGGAGAGAGAGGGAAAGTATAACACCTTTCTCTTCTTGCTTCATCTTCTTTTCTCTAGTAACAAAAGTCCCTTCGGCTTTAGAAACACAATCTGACTTTGATTTTGCATATTGTATCCGCTGCGCCCAAAAGATCACATATCACCATGGTTGGAATAATATTGTCATGAGTAATTGACATAGAAATTTCTAGTCTTTTATCTAGGAATCGATTGAAAAATCACATACGCTCAATATCTAATGTCTGCATACTTCCATCAAATTATATAACAATACATATCAGCAAGAAAATCACCTACAACTTTCTATGCTTATTATCTCAGATATGCAACATAAAATCATTTTACAGCGATCATTATAGCGAGAAGGATAAACCCGGGAACAAAAGAGAGGAAAATGTACCATTGGCTTATCATAGAACGGAAAGTTTTGCATCTGACGGACAGCATTACTAGCAGCTGTGACTTCAGTAAACACAACCCATGCTTGTCCCCTGAGCTTTGGAGTCTTCAATGCAATCACATCAAGTATCCTTCCAAAGTGAGAGAACAAACAATAAAGAGATCTCTTCAGCTCTGAAAAAACAAAAACAAACAAATCGTGGAAACATCGAACAATCACCTGCTTAAGAACATCATTACTCTTAGACGCACAACAAGCATCAAAACTCCTAAGAGCTTAAGTTCTTGAATTCAATTCAATCCAGTAATCTACATACTACTAAACAATTAGCCAGGAAACTGGATTTTCGCAATCGCTGTTTTCTTAACTAACTTAAACAAAGCACAAATCTTTATCTTCCACATACCTCAATCATCACTATGGAAGAACACCACAAAATTCAATAGAAAATCCCAAAACCCTAAAGTGGAGCTCTCAAAGACCACATCGATCAAAAGTGGAGTAAGCTTACTTAAAACATTGCAGAATCTAGAGTAAGCAGAATGAAAACTAATACTCACACCGATGCAATTACATGGGAGTTGATTCATGTTACAGTGTAATACGAGAGTATTACCTTCTTTATTGATCTTCTCATTGATATTTTGAATGTAGATTGACTGATTCGGCGGTATATCAGCCGTTAGCATTTTTCAACTGAGCTCGGCGAAGAAGACGACACTGAGCCCTAAACTGGGAGCTAAAGAGACAAAAGGGAGAGAAGAAATCGTCGCGTTTCCAATTTCCAGGCGCCGTATTATCATCCACTTCTTACCGTTTAGCGTAGAGAAAAACGTCAAGCAGTTTTAATATATTTAATGCAAAAACGTCACGACGTTCGGAAAGAGGCATTTATC